AAAAAAAAAAAAAAAGGAATGTTCAGGTAGGTGCATGTGGCTGGCTCAGTCAGTAGAGCCTGTGACTCTTGATCTCAGGGTTGTTCAAGCCCCACGCTGGGTATAGAGCCTACTTTAGAAAAGAATGTTTAAGTATACCTAGTGAATGGTTTAGGAGAAGAGCCTAAGTAGAATATAAGATTTCCATAACAAGCATTAAGAAGTTAAGTTCTCTAAGCCTTCACACCTACTAACTTTCAGGCATAGTGCCAGGAACCAGCAACCTCCAGTGTTTCTCTCAAAGCCTCGTTCCCATGGGCGAGAACAAGCATGTGGGCCACTCTGCTGCTTCTCCCTGCTCTTCAGAGCCACCTGCTTCTTTGACCCACAGTTTTCTGCTGGCCCAGGCTCAGTCTTTATGTCACAGTGTTTACGGAATCCTCTTAATAACTCATCTACCCTGCTCATCTGATCAACATTACGTGTCAGTCTACTATAGGCGAAGTTCTACAGACTGTCATTCAGTATTATGTCTAAATGTGCTGGGTTTTTTTATTATTATGTTCAGTTAGCCAGCATTTAGTACATCATTAGTTTTTGGTGTAGTTGTTCAACGATTCATTAATTGTATATAACACCCAGTGCTCATCACAACACATGCCCTCCTTAATACCCATCACTGGGCTACCCCATCCCCCCACCCTGCCCCCCTCTGAAACCCTCAGTTTGGTTCCCGGAGTCCAGAGTCTCTCACGGTTTGTCTCCCTCTCTGATTTGCCCCCCTTCAGTCTTCCCTCCCTTCCCCTGTGGTCCTCCATGTTATTCCTTATGTTCCACATATGAGTGAAACCATATGATAATTGTCTTTCTCTGCTTGACTTATTTCACTTAGCATAATCAATGTGCTGTTTATAAAAGAGGAAGTTGTGTTTTGGTTCTAGGTGGGGCCCAGTGACTCTAACCAAATTGACTCATGGGCCCTAAGATAAAAACTGAGGACCATTGCTATAAGGATTGGAATTTGAAGAGAATGTTGCAAGAAGTCTTAAGGCGAAGTATTAAAGGTGAGGCTCCACTTTTGCATATAATTTGAGAGAATTTTAAGTAAATTAATTATGAAGAACCAACCAGATACATTTAAAAGAATCTTGAAGAAAAATCCTCCCATATTTGATTGATAAGATGGTGAGATGTGAGTTGTGCAATCTAATAGTTCGCTTCTTTTTGAATCCACCTGTAGGCCGGTGCCAGCCTGGGAGGAGAGTCTACTTTCTTTAGCCTCTAGCCAATTAATCTACATTTTTATCAATGATTTTGAATGAAGAGACGGAGGGATTTATCAGTGTAACTTTTCTGAATAGGAGAAGTTTAGATAAGTGCACTTTACAGGAAAACCACCACCAAGGTATTACTACGTGCTTTTACTTAACTCTCAGAATCCCTGCGAGACAGGTATTATGCTCATCATGTGGAGTAAACTATGCAAGGGGTAAGATGGTTTGGAGAAAAGATATCTTAAAACAAAACAAAACAAAAAACCAAGGAGTTCTGGTTGACCATAAATTTAAACTAGCCACTGTGTCGCTAAAAAGCTACGGCCACATTAAGCTACATTAAACAGTTCGACTAGATTCTGTACTACTCAGGCCCTATTCATTTCTGGGGATACATTAGAGTATTTTTTTTTTTAAATGGCCAAAGTGGTGAGGGCAATGTCTAGTAAGGAACAGTGGCAGGATGTGAATAGGTTCAGCCTGGAGAAGACACATTCCCAGTAGACCATAATCTCCAGAATACAGGGACCGAGTCAGATAAAAATAGCACCACATTTTACGTAGAGCTTTCCAGTTTGCAAAACGGCTTTTACCTTCCCCAAAGGCCACACAAAATAAAGGAAGCACACTGAGATTAAGAAGACTGGGATCTGAAGCCAACTGCCTGCACTCAAACTCCAACTTTGCCCCTTCCTGGCTGGGTCACTCTGGACAAATTATTTAACTTTTCTGTGCCTGATTTCCCTTGTCCGTAAAGTGAAAATAACAACGGTATACCTGCATTGCTGATGAACTAGTACACAAAAAGTGCTTAAAAACACTGCCTGTGCAGCAGGTTAATGGCAGCTATGACCGACAGCTATGGGGCGCTGGGTAAGTCCCAAGCCTCCAGAGCCGTGTCCTCATTCGAAAAATTAGGATTATCACCATCTACTTACAGGGCTATGAGTTAAATAAGACAAAAAAGGGAAGTGTTCTGTAAATCTTAATTGCTTTTCTCTTTCATGAACACCTTCATCATCATCTCTGAGAGAGCCTTACGCCAGGCACTACGCTAAGCATAATCTTTGTTATCTCATTTAATCCTCCCCACAACTATATAAAATGCCTACTTCTACCAGCCTCGCTTTACAGACAAGGAAACAGGCTTAGGATGGCTAGTTTACATGAGGCCGCAGATCTAAGTGGTCAGCAAGACTGAGAACCCAGGTCTTTTGGACTCTGTAGCCCACTTTAGAGCCTCCATGCTATATGGCTTTTCATACACATTCCTGCATTTACACATCTTGGCAGCTAACAACATGAATGTTTCCTTAATCAAATAAATGAATGTTAGCAGTCTTCAACGTGGTACAACTGTTGCAAGGAAAGAGGAGCTGTGGAAAAGACTCTGTCCCTGCTCCATGCACCTGCCATAAAGCGCAAGGAGATCTATCACATTGTCTGGGCCAGGTTTCTTTATTTCTAAGATAAGGAACCTGGACTATACAGTCTTTCAATCTGGTTTGAAGACCATAATGGTTCCATCTGGCAACACTTTTTTTAAAATATTTAATTAATTTATTTATTTGAAAGAGAGAGAGAACACAAGTGGGGGAAGAGACAGAGGGAGAGGGAGAAGTAGGTTCCCTGCTGAGCAGGGAGCCTGATGTGGGGCTTGATCCCTGGACTCCAGGATCATGACCTGAGTGGAGGGCAGATGCTTAACTAAGCCATCCAAGCGCCCCCCTTCTGGCAACACTTCTGACAAAGCATTCTAAAAACTCTAGAATTTCAAAACTGTAAGAGACCTTAAAGGTCTGGCCCAAACTCTTTAGACATGGGAATCCCCAAGGACAAAAATCTGGGTTTCCCAATCGATTTCCAAACCTACATTGCTTCTTTTGTAATGACACTGAGTAGACATTTCAAACAGGATTAAAGGAAATATAACTGGCATCACAAAGTCCAAAAATAATGGGTGCCAAAGTTAAACAGTAGTAACTTTTATATTCTAAAAACTCACTTTATTAGTCACTACAAAACACCAGGTTTTATTGCTTAAAATACCACATTAAAGACACATTAAGCTATTATTTTCTAATTTTGTGAATACCAAATTCTAATAAACAAACAGGGTAACCTCAGAATAAATTATTTTGATAATAAAAGCCTTGCGGTAGCACTAATTAGCTTTAAAAAAATTTTTTTTAATTTAAAAGATTTTACTTATTTATTTGATAGCAAGAGAGACAGCAACACAAGCAGGGGGAGTGGGAGAGGGAGAAGCAGGCTTCCTGCTGAGTAGGGAGCCTGATGCGGGGCTTGATCCCAGGACTCTGGGATCATGACCTGAGCCGAAGGCAGACGCTTAACGACTGAGCCACCCAGGTGCCCCTAAAAAATTTTTTTGAGAGAGAGTGGAAGAGTGGGGCGGCAGGGAGGACAGCGAGAGAGGAAAAAAAGAGAATCTTAAGCCGACTCCCCACTGAGTGGGAAGCCCGTGTGGGGGCTCATCCCACAACCCTGAGATCATGACCTGAGCCTAAATCAAGAGTCTGATGCTTGGGGCACCTGGGTGGCTCAGTCATTAAGCGTCTGCCTTCGGCTCAGGTCATGATCCCAG